GGCTAGTGGGAGGGGTCCCTGCCCATGGCAGGGGGTTGGAACTAGATGATCTTTAAGGTCCCTTCCAATCCAACCCACTCTCTGATTCTGTGATATTCCTGACTTATTTTGGCTGGGTGGAAAAATAAAGTCTGGTTTCAGCACCATAATGAAATGTTCTATTAATAAAAGTACATTCTGAATCAATAAAACAATGATTTCATAAAGACCTCTTTTCTTTCCAGGTGGTACCCAAACCGATCAACCCAAATTCCCAGATAGTTACTACTAGTCAGCCTCAACAAAGACTTATTATGCCAGCCACTCCACTGCCACAGATACAGCCCAACCTCACCAACCTCCCGCCGGGCACTGTACTGGCACCAGCACCTGGCACAGGAAATGTTGGCTATGCAGTCCTTCCAGCTCAGTATGTCACACAGGTATGGTGTTATCCCAGAGATAAAAAAGGAAATAGTGCTGTTGTCAAACAAACTGCCTTCCTGTTAAAAGTTCTTGCTCTCCAGCCCAGGTCTAGAGATTAGGTTTTTGCTCTTTGCCAAGATCTGACCAACATTCAGAATGAATGGGAGAATAAAGGAAACCTTCTGTGAAAGGCTGACCAACCTGTCTGTACAAAGAAGAGTTCTGGCAGCTCATGGCACTACTGGCACCAGACGCACTTCTGGTTCCTTTTTGGGTTTGTCACAGCGGCAGTTTGTCCCTAAAGGCTCTTACCGCATCCTTACAGTCCAGTTCCACAAGTCTTACCTTAAACTAAATAATACCATTTGTTGGACCTCTCCTCTGAGGTTTAGTCCTCCAGACTCAATCTGTCCCCTTTGGCCTGGCCCCAGTAGGTCTGTATCTTGTTATGTGCCAGTCTGTTTTCAGAACCTGTCCCAGCAGGAGAAAATGGCTGTATGTAGGTAAGACAAAAGAAGGTAGCCCAAAACAGTGTCATTTGGCAGGTTCTTATGAGGTTTTGGAGTTGGTTTTTTTCATGTGAAAGATAAACTGTGGGTCCAGGTATTGGAAGTTGGAATGTAAATCATTTGGCTTGCATTTATTTAATTCCATGTTTTTAGGAGCTGGAACTGTTTGAGGTCTGAATGCTTCTGTGTGTAGTCTCTGTGTTATCTGTATGGCTGTAGGCACTGTAATAGAGAACAAAAATAGCACCCAAAATGTTTTTCTTCTAAGTATGGAGGTAGGAGGTTACTGCCTGGTCCAAGTTCAGCAAACTTCTAAAACTGTGCTTACAAGCATATTATTTTTATAACAATATCTATTATTTTTATAACAATAGCCAATTAACAGACTAGCTACAAATCCTTTTGTGTATACTTTAAGTGTTGCACATTAACCTTTTTGTTTTCTTAGCTACAGCAATCATCATATGTATCTATAGCAAGCAACACAGGCTTTACAGGGACATCTAGTATCCAGTCCCAAGCACGGCTACCATTCAATGGGTGAGTGTTTTGTGAAGAGATTTAAGAAAACCAACCAACCAAACAAAAAAAACCCAAACCTGCTGCTGAATGAGCATCTTCTTTCACTTCCATTATAAAGAAGAGTGGGGGCTGAGGTGTTGGGGTTTGGTTTGGGGCTTTTCCCAAGAAAATCAAGTATACTGTGGTGTGGTTATTACTTCTGAGTAAAGGACATGGGTCTGCCTAACAGCTGCACTGCTGTTTTGATTAAAGCTGTGTTCTCCTTTCTGGTTTTTGACCTCATATAGCAGGAAGTTGACCTGAAAGCTCCCGGTTACTCATTCTTCATTTTACATCAGCACCTGGGAGCTATAAGCCTCAACTATTTCTTGACATGGCTGGAAAGAGGTAGTGGACAACGTAAGAGCAGGATGCTTAGCCCATGCAGAAATCCAGCTGAAGAGCAAAATGGAACTAAAGCCCAAAATGAATCCTGATAGGAGGCTTTGGGTTTTTTCAGTCTTGTAGTTTTCCTTTAAGGATGAAAACAGTGGCTAACATGTATGTCATTACAGGCTTAGCTGTTCTGCTTACTCCTTTTGTGTTATTGTTTGCTGGAAATTGTAAAAGCCAAGGTGCTTTTTGTTGGTGCAACCTCAGCTGATACGAACTAATCCCAAATCCAGATGCAGCTATTCAAACAAATGGGTTTGATTTAATCTCCCTGGTACTACACGCAGAAATTGCTGGATGGGGATGGAACAAATCTCATCAAAAGAGATCAGTGACACAAAATCTGAGTTTTGAGAGCAGACTGTGTCTGATATCAAATTCATCTGTAAACTGAATGCCATGCTTTTTTAATCCAACTAGAACAAAAGGAAAGGCACAATCATGTTGTGTGAACCTTGGCTGGATCTAGTCCCCCTGCATGGGTTCTGGAGAAGTTCCCTCTGATGCCAGTTTTCAGTTATGATGCTTTCTCTAGCTTTAAGCCTCATTTTTACTTTAGGCATGCAGCCAGATTTGCAGCAGATAACGCAGCTCTTTCTGGGTTGTAAAGGCACTATATATAATGGTAACTTAAATACAGTCAGACAAAAACCTAATGCAAGAGGAATATAAAGATTTTTTTGAAGTTTGTATTATGAGCCATTTACTTGTTTACTTGAATTTAAAATAGGAAGAAACTGATAAAAAAGTTTGCTATCTACAGATGCACTTTTTCCCCCCACAGAATAATTCCTTCTGAATCTGCAAACCGCCCCAGGAAGCCCTGCAATTGTACTAAGTCTCTGTGTTTGAAATTGTAAGTACAGCTTGGTGGGGGTGTTTTTGGTTTTTTTTTTTTCTTTCTTTTTTAAGCCTCGTTTTTTACATCACAAATTCATGCCAAGTATCAGAATATAATGTTTTTAAGTATGTCAGAAATGTTATCATGGTATCATGAGTGGGCATTACTATACTATGGTGAAGCTCATCAGTAATGCCATGCTGTATCAAGTCATTTAGAAAAATCGGGCTGCCTATCTTTTCTTAAATGGATAGACAAGTGATTCTTCACTGCTAGCTCTGAGTCTTGCTCATCCTCAGGAGATATTTTGTTATCCCATTCAATGTGTTTGTAAAAAGCTGAGGAGATGCTAAGGTTTTTTTAATTTGAGGCAAAGTCAGTTTACTGATTTTTTTGGGGGGGGACAATATCAAGAGGAGATACTGAAATTAATCTGTGGTTCCCTGAATCCTAGACAATGAAGAGGAAATCAGTTGTGTGCTACCCTAAGGGAAAGCGATGCAACATTATCTGAACCCAAGTTAAATGTGTTTAAACTTTTCAGCTTGGGTTTCTTTTCATGTCATGCATACCACTCTCTGTGTGGGGAGGTGTGCCTTGTGCTTCCTAGCTCAAAGTTGTCTGTTGCACCAAAGACATGGTAAACGGAAGATGTGTAGCTGTTTCTTCAAATGTTTTACAACATACATGACTCGCTTTATGGTACCAAATGTTAGGTGCTTAGAGTTTTCAACTTATTTTAGTCTTTGGTGTCTGAATACTCTAGGAATTCTGGGAGAATAATGGCTGTGCACCTTCAGGATGCAGTTTGTAAAGAAAATTTTCTTGTAAATTACTGTAATTATATCTTTAAGTGGCTAGACACTGGTGCAGCGCAAATGGATAATTCACTGGCAAAAAGTGTTTTCCCATCTGGAAGGGGGGTTGCTTTTACCCAAATGAATGTTGAAGATCAAGCATGTAGCCTATTCTACGAAGAAGAAAAGTCAGAGAAGTTCTTTGCTCACTGATGCTCAGGGTTGATGCCAGCGCTGTTTGTTTTGGAAATGAGGAGCACTCCACAACTGGATTTTAAACAGAACAGAAAGGAGAGCTATTACAGGTTGTAAAAGCTTTTTATGTAGTTTGGCACCATTCAGGTGCTAAAAATCACCAAAATGCAATTTCACCAGGTGGAGGGTGGTACTCCAGGGCAACCCTAATATAGGTTTTGTAGTGTTACTCTGGACGAGCCCCAGGAAGCTGGTTTTGCAAGGGGTTTTGGCTCCTGAGAATGAACATACACCCCCAGCTGAAGAAGATTAGCAGTTTCCATCTGCTATAGCTGGAGGTGGTGCTGGAAGCACTGAAGCCTGCCAGAGTTTGTCATGGCCCAAGGCCACGTGTGAGCAGGGAACGGATGTGGTGCTATATATCAGATCTGCGGGGTAGTGGCATCTTGGTTTTGGCAGGAGGTACGTAAGAGGCAGAGCAATATGATTGGCTTTTCCTGTCGATGTTTTGCTGCTTTTTATTCACATCCTTGTCCCTTTAAAAAGTGTCTGATAACACAGCTTTATCCTCATTCAGGTCCTTTCCCTAGTTACCTGTGCCTGAAAGCCTATGAGGTGTACCACTTGTTATTACTTTTCTGTTCTTCCATCCCTGCTCTGGCGAACTCTGCCTCAGTTCACAGTTCAGAGACTGGCTCTGAGGTGGCTGCAGCAGGATGGCCCTTGATATGTGGGTCAGACACCTAGGAGTCACCCTGGAAAAAAGTCTCATTAGTTTCTCTTGCTGCTGTGGGGATCTGAGTTATACGGACATCAGTTCTGACGGACACCCTTGAGCTATGCCTGTGTCTTTAGACTGCAACTAGACCTGTGCTAGAGGATTTCAGCCTTGCGATGAGGCTTATACCGCTTGTAAACGTGGAGTTCAGCGTAGGGCAAACCTTACCCTTATCGCTGGACTAGGAACTTCTGCCAGTGTAATGCTCATGTTTACAAATGCCTTCTGCATCTTCTGTTTCAGGTATTGTGATTGTTTTGCAAATGGCGAATTCTGCAATAACTGCAATTGTACAAATTGTTATAACAACCTGGACCATGAAAATGATAGGCAAAAAGCAATAAAGGTGAGGGGTCCCTTTTTTCTTCTTCTTCTTTTTTTTTTTTTTTTTCCCTCTCCTCCCCCAACTCCAGCCTTTCTGAAGCTGAAGCAAAGAGCATGATCCCGTTTGTACAGATTTTGTCATGCTCCTAGAGAGCATTGTGGTGGGACAGCTGAGCTTTTGGTTTGCATCCAAAGACAGCTGGGATGAAAGCTGTATACCCTGAGTCTTCTGAAGCTACGGTGTGGGGCAGAAGTGGGTGTATAATGCCCTGATCTCCTCCTACATGTGCAAGGCTTAAGTTCTTTTATTGCACCTCTAAATTCTGCTCCCCACACGTAGTGACTGACGCTTTGGGTCTGCATTGACAGGCCTGCCTTGACAGAAACCCTGAAGCCTTCAAACCCAAAATAGGGAAAGGAAAGGAAGGAGAATCGGATCGGAGACACAGCAAAGGGTGTAACTGTAAACGCTCAGGATGTCTCAAAAACTACTGCGAATGTTACGAGGTACGAAGCATGATCTCATCTTAAAGATACTGGCTTTTTTTCCCTTTAGTGCTGTGGCTTCTCTGATTTCATGTGTCTCTTCTTTGTATTGCTGTAATGTTTTTGGTTTATCTCTTCTTCCAGCAGTTTGCATGTAGAAAGCCATGTATGTGGCAAAATTGATCACTTCTATCGTAAAGTTTAATTTTAAACCATGTGGCAATGTTGAACTCGGGCTTGGATTTGTCCTTTACTGAAGAGCAGTGTTTCCTAAAGAAATCTAGTGCACCAGGTCCCTAGGAGGAACGGGATAGAACATCTCTGTGGAAGACAAAGGCAAAAGTAGTTGTTGCATCAGCTAACTGATCAGTCTGTGGATGTAGAAACAGTGGCAGACTGACCTCTCTCATATATCAACCACCTAAATCCCAACAGAAACAGTAGGTTGGTGAAGAAAGGGATGAGTGGGAAGCCATTGATTTGCATTTGGTTCAAGTACACAGGCATCTCAGTTGGAGGTGAGAATTCAGAGAGAAAACTACTATTTGGGGGTTTCTTCTAGTGGCTAATTGATAACAGATTAAAATACGATCTCCCTTTCTTTGTGGCTTGTCATAAAGGGAGTCAAAGTTGCAACAGGTTTCTCATCTTTTGTTTGTTTCTTTCAGGCAAAAATCATGTGTTCTTCCATATGCAAATGCATTGGCTGTAAGAATTTTGAAGAGAGCCCAGAGCGCAAGACACTGATGCATTTAGCAGATGCTGCAGAAGTTAGGGTCCAGCAGCAGACCGCCGCAAAGACCAAGTTATCTTCTCAGATCTCAGATCTGCTGACGAGGCCAACACCAGCACTCAGCAGTGGCGGGGGGAAGTAAGTTAATGCAGCACCCTGGTTCAGTTGCTTATAATATATTTTTCCTGAGGTATGTCACAGGTATGTGTGTCCCTGTCATCTCTGAATGTTATCTGCATAAGCTGTAGAAGCAGGAGCACTCAGGTGAAGGGAGCCTTTTGTTCATGCAACCACATTTTCTGTGGAACCTAGGGTATGCCAAACGTGGCTGCATTCAGGTGTGTAACGAAGCATTGGCTTTTCATGGGTGCCCATGTGCTCACAGAAAGCATGAAGTACAAGTGTCCCATTTACTGAGAGGATGTAATCCTTGAGCTGCCCTTGCTGAAGGCTAGAGAATTGTTCTGTGTACGTGGGCATTTCCAAGTCTATTTCCAAATATCCATCAATGGAGGAAGGCACCAAAGCACAATGGCCCACATTTGAGTGTAACTGTGGCTTGTTCACTCCCTGTTGGTTGGCTAAAGGCACTTGGAAGCAATGGGACAGAGGAAATCTTATCAGTCCTCCTACTCCAGGCAGCTTGCCCAGCCCTGGAGTTAGGTGCCTTGTGTGTTTGCTGGGAGTGAGTGGATTTTTGTTTGTTTCAGGCTGCCCTTTACGTTTGTAACCAAGGAGGTGGCTGATGCAACCTGCGAATGCCTTCTTGCACAGGCAGAGCAAGCGGAGAAGATGGGCAAGTCACAAGCTGCGGCAGAGCGCGTGATCCTGGAGGAGTTTGGACGCTGTCTGATGAGAGTTATTAACTCTGCAGGGAAGTCCAAAAGTGACCCTTGTGCCATGAACTGCTGACTCGTGCACATGAGCCACAATGAAGCGGACTGAACAGAACACTTAAGGCACAGGGACACTTTGGTTTGGCATAGAGGATTTAATAATATTTGCTAATTTGGTGCTTGTTGTAAATTGACCTGTGTAAGATTGAAACAAGAAAATCTTTTGTAACAAGATGTAGAGCCTTTTAAATCTTAGTTAAATCCTCTTCTACTTAAGATGATGCCTAAAGGTCAATTTTTCTTCCCACTGTACAGCTTTTACCTTGGGTTTCTCAAAAATTAGGTGTGTTCTCCCCTTTCCCCTAGAATAATTGCCTGAAGGGTACATATAAATTATTATATATTATTTACAGTGTATGGAGTTGAATCACTTTGTGCATACAGGAAAACAGGTGGCATCAACAGCCAGGTGATGCTTCTGGCCACAGGCCTGTAATAAGGAGGTATCAGCGTATCCGAGATAGTTCTGAACGGAAGCATGTAAAAAAACAAGCATCTAAACGGGAGGTAGTACTCGTATTTAGGACGTGACACAGCACTTTCCTTCAGAGCACAGAGCAGTATGAAATATGCAGGTTTAGCATTGGGCAAGTGGTGGAGAATCTCCCTGGAGTGGGGCCCAGGGAGTTTAGAGGTGAATTGAATTAACGGGAATTTTTGGATAGGATTGTGGCTGATGGCTCACGTGTTTCCTAAGCTGGAACTCGAAGACTAAGACCGCAGCCCATCCTCA